GTTTGACCCCAATCCCAAATAAGCTAGTGACTTCGGGCTCTATCTCCCCATACACGTCCTTCTTTCTCCTGCCTTTGTTCAAGCTGTTTCCTCATGCCTGGGTCTTCCCCTTTTACAACCCTCAGCTTCCTTTAAAGCACTGCGGTCAGATCCAAATAGAAACCGAGCCACTAATCTGTACATGGGGATCCCTGTGGCTGAATGTTGACTTAGTTTTTAAATATAATGTTATCTATGCTCTATTGCATTTTTTTATTTATTTTGTCAAATACTTTTCTGTTACATTTTAATCTGGTTCAGCTCCACTAGGGAGTGTTATGAGCACCAGGAGGCTGGCTGCTGTGTGTTTGGCATCTCTGCTTTAAAGAACAGTTCAGATACCGCCTCCTCTGGGAAAGCCTCTGAGATCTTCCAATTCTCCTTCCCTACTCCCATGGGGACCCCAAGTTACTTTGTATTTGCTCTGTATATTTTGTGTCTATACTTATCTTCGTACAGGATATATGAGGATAAATGCAAAAATCAGTGCAGTACACTGTAATCTCTTTGGGAGATAGGACTATTTCATTTTTGTGTCTCCAGTTTGTAGCCCAGTGCATGGCATATAGTAGGTGCCTAATAAATGCCTAAAAAGATAAATAAATCTTTTAAGGTTTACAGAACATTTTTCTTACAGTTGATGCTCACTAAACATTTGTTGGGCCTAACCACATTGATTCAGACTGTTCACTGAAAAGTCAAATACTGAAGATGAACCTTAAATACTTTGGCCACAAAATAAGAAGACAGGACTTGTTGGAAAAGACCCTGATATTGGGAAAGATTAAAGGCAAAAGGAAAAGGGGATGACAGAGGATGAGATGAATAGATAGTGTCAGGGAAGCAATGAACGTGAGTGTGAACAGGCTTCAGGAGATAGTGGAGAAGAGAAGGGCCTGGTGTGCTGTGGTCCATGGAGTCACAAAGAGTTAGACATGACTGAATAACAACACCAAAATACAAACAAACAAACAAACATTAAAATGAAATGAATTGAGCAAGTCCTTTGATCTCGGTGAATTTCAGGTTCCTCATAACAAAAGGATTCCCATAGCATTATCACAAGGTTGTCCTAAGGTTCAGATGGCACAACCTATGTATAACCTGTTACCTAGCTCAGTCCCTAGCTGTTTACATGTTATCTCTCCCAGTAGACTGTGAGCTCCTTGAGGGCAGGGACTGTCTTTTGCCTCTCTTTGTATCCCCAGAGCATAGTACAGTGCCTGCTACACCGAGGTAGGTCCTTACTAAGTGTTTATTGACTAACCACAGAGCATATGTAGACTTTGAAGCACTACATTAATGTCAGTTATCATTATTCTAATTCCATCGTCTGCCCAGAGCACATAATATGGTTCTGAGGTTAGCTGGCACTCTGAGGGATCTGAGGCAGCAGGAGGCAGAAGCAGGCATGGTAAGACAAAGAAACATCTAGCAGAAGAGAAAACTAAGGCTCAGAAAAATTAAGTGATTAGGCCAGGGTCCCACAACTTCCTATTTCTGGAGCTGAGTCAAGAACCTAGGACTTCTCAGTCCAAGATCAGGACTTTTTCTGTTCCCTGGGCAACAAGAAGGCATAGTTTCTAGAAGGCCACAGTTCCAAAGAAGGGTTAGTGAATAGTTTCAAAGGGAAAATCGCATACTACATGAATACTATTCAATAACTACATGAAAGATCATTCCAAATCACTAAGAGGATAAAAGCAAATTTAAATGACTCTTGAATTTTCACCTAATATCCATAAAATCAGGAAAGATGATAAAAAGAAAGAAACCGTGTTCAGAAGAGCTATAGGAAGAAATATACTAACTTGTTGTTGGCAGAGCTATGAATTGAATTGGTCCAACCATTCTGGAAAAAGTTTTGGAATCATGCAACAAAAGTCACAAAACTGTTTAAATTTCCTTTGACCTAGAGATCCCACTAGTGGGCATATACCCTCAAGGAGGTTAAAGATAAAAACAAAGTACTCCTATTCATACTTTTTTGGTAACAAAAATAAATGGAAATAAGGTGAGTAGATGAACTATTGGTAGAGCAAATTGTGACATATGAATACTATTTAATATCATTTCACTTCAACAAACAACAAATATAAGGAATTTATAGAAGCATGGGAAGATATACAAACTCAACCAGAGTGAAGTAAGTAGAATCAGAAGAGTGACATTTCAAAATACATAACTATAAAAATGTAAATGAGTAGAATACTAAAATGCAGAGAAATGATGAGTAATTATAATATCACCTCTTGTTGGTAGGGGATAAGGGTGCAGAATGTTGCAAACACAGTTAGATAAACCCATGGTACAGGCTGGTTTTGTCTGACTGTTTTTCTTTGTTACTGATAAAGACTCTGGGAGAAGATGGTACAGTCATTCAAAATGCATGAACAAAATTGTTTAATTAGTGGCAGACTTAATATGATTTGAAGAATTTTAAAAGTTGCTTTCCCCTGGTCAAAAAAACAACCAAAAACTTTCATCAATTTATTTCATTGCCTGAAATCTCCACCATTAAAGTCATTGCTTTAGGTTCCTCCTCTCTCTCCAGAAGACTCATTAATTATAACCATGTTACTCAGTTGAGGTCAGTGTCAAATTAATACAACAGCTATCATTAACACATTAGTATGGATGTGATCATCAGAATAGCTGGATGGCAGATTATCAAGGCACTAGGTTGACCTTGCACATGTATTAGCTATGACTCATTAAGAAACCTTTCTTCCTCCTCCCCACACCCCCTCTTCTGGGCCTGTATCTCAGTATCTTCCTTTTTTTTTTTTTTTTTTGTAATTTTTAAAATTTTATACTCAAATACAAAATTAGAAAAGAAAAAAAAACATTGCCATATACACAGCAGACCATAAGATAACAGTCAAGATAAAACAATAAATTTCCATTTCAAGAAAACCTATATAATAAATACTACACATTGTTTTCAAAGCTGCCCAGCTTTTCTTTGCTTCCTTGTTGATTTTCTTTTGTTCTCTGCTGTGCACTTTTTACTTTATTTTCTTCTCCTCTCTTCCTCCTTTCCCCTCATCCTGAAGGTTACAATTAAGCATGGATACACACACACACACACACACACACACACACACACACACACACACACACAGATATCTATGAACATAGACATATATACACTCAAACACATATATGTAAGACTGAGCTATGCTTCTTTCCTCCTATCATCTCTTTCTCTGAAGGTAGATAGCATCTTCCTCCTAAGTCCAAATCTTTCCATGTTTTTTCTAAATTAACCAACTCATCATTTCCTATACCATAGCAATATTCATTTCTGCATTCAAACGGCATCTTCCTTTACAGGATCTTTGAGGTTAATTTGGGTATTTATAATAGTAAGAATGATTTATTGCTCAAAACTGTTCTTAAAGCAATACTGTTGTTACTATACAGAATGTTCTCTTGGTTTTACTCATTTCACTCTTCATTATTTCATGGAAGTCTCTCCATGCTTTTCTAAAATCATTGAGTTCATCATTTCTTATAGCAGAGTAATATTCCATCATGAACATATACCACAATTTGTTTAGCCATTCCCCAATTGAGAGGCATTCCTGCAATTTCAAATTCTTTGCCACCACAAAGAGAGTTGCTATAAATATTTTAGAGCATTAAGGTTCTTTTTCATTTCCCCTAATCCTCTTGGGAAACAGACCTAATAGTGGAATGGCCAGGTCAAAGGGTAGAGGCAGTTTAGTAACTCTTTGGGCATAATTCCAAATCTCTCTCCAAAATGGATGGATCAGCTCACAGATTCACCAGCAATGAATTAAGGTCCCAATTTTTCCACATCCCCTCCAACATTTGTCACTTTACCTTTCTATCATTTTAGCCAATCTGATAGATGTAATATGATATCTCAAGGTTGTTTTAATTTGCATTTCTCTAATCAATAATGATTTAGAGCATTTTATATAACTAGAAATTGTTTTGATTTCTTCATCAGAGAACTGCCTGGTCATATTGTTGACCATTTCTCAAATTGGGAATGACTTGCATTCTTATAGATTTGACAAAGTTCTTTATATATTTGAGATATGAGACCTTTATCTGAGGAACTATCTATAAATTTTTCCCCCAGTTTTCTGCTTTCCTTCTGATCCTTGGCTATATTTGTTTTATTTGTACAAAATCTTTTTTAATTTAATGTAATCAAAATTATCCATTTTACATCTCACAACACTCTCTATCTCTTGTTTGTTCATAAATTGTTCACCTATCCATAAGTCTGATAGGTAATATGTTCCATGTTCTTCAAATTTTCTTGTAATATCTCCCTTTATATCTAGGTCATGTATCTATTTTGACCTTCTCTCGGTAAATGGTTTAGGATACTGGTCTATGCCCAATTTCTGCCAGACTGCTTTCCAGCTTTCCCAGCAATTTTTACCAAATAATGCATTCTTGTCCCAAAAACTTAAGTCTTTACACTTCTCAAACACTGCATAGCTATATTTGTTCTCTGCTGATCATATGTCTGCTCTGTTCCACTGATCTACCTTTCTATTTCTTAGCCAGTACCAGATGGTTTTGATAATTACTACCTTATAACATAGTTTAAGATCTGGTACTGCTAAACCTCTTTCCTTTACATTTTCCCCCCATTAGTTCCTGTGATATTCTTGACCTTTTGTTCTTCCAAATGAATTTTGTTATTTTTTCCAGCAGCATAAAATAATTTTTTGATAATTTAATTAGGATGACATTGAATATATAGATTAATTTTGGTGAAATTGATATTTTGTTATATTGGCCCTGCCTACCCACAAACAATTAATATTTCTGTATATCAGTGTGAATGGTGATGATGAAAATGACTCTGTGTACCTTTAGAGGGGGTACTGCTGACAAGGGAGGCAGAACCGAGCCACACCCAGCCACAGCGTGACCAAGCCTACCAGGGTAGGGTAGGGGCGCCTGTTACTCACAGTCCAGGATGACTTGGGCTGCTCGGTAGAGCTGGAGTCGGTACAGGAGGTCCAGGAGCTGCTGCACTGTGGCCTGCCTCATCCCCCACCACCACAGCAGCTCTCGAGTGATGCTGATACCTTGGATTCTCTCCATGGACTTGATCTTCCTCAGCTGGGTCTGGTCTGTCATCACATAAGAGGCTAAATAGCAAACAGAGAGCATTCCCAGTTAGCCAGGCCTCGAGGCAGGCAGAGGGGCCTTTATCGAGATCTCTAAGTGGGGCTGATCTTAACAGAGATAGACTAAGTAGTTGCCGGCAGGGCACACTATGGAGAGCAATGTAAGTCACCCCTCTCATCTCCTTCCCACCCAATGCCTCCTTTCCCAGTCCCCCAGATTGCCACAGAGCCCGAAATGATAACATTTGGATTTAGTTCTTTGGATTAAGCTACTAGGCCTCTAGGAAATCCATGGTAAAATGTAAATCTGTTATCCCCCATTACTAGTGTTTTCCCTTGCAGACATCTTTCCATTTAGACTCTGCATATCTTACATGCACTTAGTCATTTGCCTGGTGTTTCCCTTATTAGAATGGGAGCTCCTTGAAGGCAGAGAGAATTTTTTGGTCTTTCTTTGCATCCCCAGGGCTTAGTACAGTGCCTACAGCTCCCTTTTAAAGGCTGTTTTCCCCATTAGAATGTAAGCTCCTTCAGTATAGAGAATTTTTTTTAGGAGCACAGTAGTAAACTCTTAATAAATGTTGGTTGGATATTTGTAATGGGTTTTGTGTTTCTTGCCTTCTCAACGAATGGGTAAGGAAGGAGGGAGAGGGAGATCATTCCAAATTCAAAATTAAAATAAAATGAATTAAAATAAAAATGATTTTTTAAAAAAAATACTGGTTAATTGATTGCATCCTCAGAGCTTAGCATAGAAAGCAATTAATAAATGCTCATCTAATGAAAGACTGGAGGATCAACACATTAACATATGACAACATCCAGCATGGATGAAAAACCTCAAGCTTGAGATGTCAGCACATAGTAAGAGGGAGGGAAAAAAGGAAGAGAAGTAATGGGGGAAAGAAAGATCTAAAATGTGGAAGAGGTATATTCTGTGGAACACTGTAAGTCATACTCAAGAAAGAAAGAAAGATCTAAAATATGGAAGAGGTATACTCTGTGGAACGTTACAAGTCATATTCCAAGAAAGAAAAAAGGAAAGAAAGAAAGAAAAAGAAAGAGAGAAAGAAAAAGAAAGAAATTTATTTTGCCTCCCACCAACTTTGAAGTTCATCAAATGAATGGTCTGTTGTATTTCACCAACAACCTGTGGTTTCCTCGTCTGGGAACTTTCTACACCCAAACCAATGACAACTGGTTTTAGAGAGTTGCCTGAGGCCCATTAAGGTTAAGTCCTTAGCCAAGGTCACAGTTTTGACTGGGGATTGATTACATGTGTTTTAGGAAAAATAGTAAACAGACCTAGAAGGAAGACTCTTACTCTGACACAGAAGATTGTCCCAGTTTGAGGGAAAAAAACCTGGAGCTTCTAGGGAATCATTATCATCATCATTTATATAGTGCTTACAAAGTTTTGAGAGATGTCTGGATATATTCTCTAAATGGATCCTCATAACATCCCTGAGAAGTAAACACTTTTAGATATGGTTATCTCCACTTTACAGATGAGAAAACTGAGGCTAAGATAGGCTGAGTGATACATATGGAAAAGAGCAGTCTTAGGAAGCAGTCTTAGGAGTCAGAAGTCCTAGATTCAGTGACTCTTACTGAATGTCATAGGCAAGTTGCCTGGTCTCTCGACTCAGTTTCCTCACCCTGTGGTGATGAACTGCTCTACCTTTTCAAGAATGTTATAAGGGGGGCAGCTAGGTGGCACAGTGGATAGAGGTCCAGTGTTGGAGTCAGGAGGACCTGAGTTCAAATGAGGCCTCAGACACTTGACACCTACTAGCTGTGTGACCCTGGGCAAGTCACTTAACCCTGATTGCCTCACCCCCCGCAAAAATGCTGTAAGGACAGTGAAGGGAAAAATGATTACCATCCATTTACAAGTATAATATAATATTATACTATACTATATATTAAACTATATACACTATACTACACTATAATATATTAAAACACTAATGAGAATGTGATCTTGTCCAATTATAAACTTGGCAGAGGCACTGCCCCCTTAAAAATAACATCATCAGGAAAGAAGATTTAGGGAAGGCTGAGGGGCAGCTAGGTGGTACAGTGGATAGAGCTCTGGCCTTGGAGTCAGGAGGACCTGAGTTCAAATCCAGCCTCAGACACTTGACACTTACTAGCTGTGTGACTCCGGGCAAGTCACTTAATCCTGATTGCCTCAACAGAAAAAAAAAAGAAGCAGAAGAAAAAGAGGGAAGGCCGACCTACATGTGGACATTAGGCACTATAGTAAATGAAATAGCCATGGTTTCTGACTCAAAGGAATATATCATTGGAGAGAGATGCATTGTTTCATAGAGATCATCTGTATAGGGGAAGCAGCGGGCAGCAGTAAAGCCTGATGAGCATGGGAGTCAAGATCAAGGTTAGAATCCTGGCTTTCGACATGACATACCAGTTAATTTCTTTGAACCTCAGTTTCCACATTTGCAAAGTGGCTCTCTGTGTGTGTGTGTGTGTGTGTGTGTGTGTGTGTGTGTTTACAGTAAAAGGTCAGGAAGCATAAAGCTGGAGTCATCTGGGTAAACCTGGGCAAGACGCTCACCCTCTTAATGCCCTCAGATAAACTCTGTTAAGATTATAAGCCTCTGAACAGAAAGAAGGTTGATCTGCATTGATAAAAGGAGTTTTCACACTGGGAGTTCCCTATGCTAACAAAATCCCAGGTCCAGCCCAAATATTTGCATGACCTACCTCAGATTATGATAATCAAATGAAAAAAACATAATTAACAGCACCATGAAAATAAAACACTATGTGAGGATGTTCCAGTGGACCTCTGCTCATATCAAAGTGATGACTCCCCCCACCATGCAGACTGCAATCCTTTCATTCTATGTGTTTCACAGTAGGCCCTTAGTAAGTGCTTACTGATTGATGGAACCACAAAGATAATTTTATCAGGCATTTATGCTGTACATGTATTTATGAGATCAGCGAATTTAGATTTGGATACGACTTCCAAGATTACTTATGCTACATCGCTGCCTCATTTTATGTCTTATTTTATCCTAGACTTAAAACATCAAATAAAACAAGCATTTACATATACTTGGTAGAATAGAAAAGGAGGATCATACATGAAACTGCAAATTTCTGTTCCATACAGTTTATGCTTCTGTTAAATATAATAAAATTCAACATATAATTTTCAAAGCAATCCTGCTTATTTGGCTTTTTTTTCCCATTCTCTTTTGTGAATTTTCTGTGAAACTGGGCAAAGACCAACATCTTACATCCTATACCAAGATAAAGTCAAAATGGGTACATGATTTAGATATAAAGACCGATACTACAAGCAAACTAAGAGAGCAAGGAATAGTTTACCTACAGATCTATGGAGAAGGGAAGAATTTATGACCAAACAAGAGATGGAGAACATTATGAAATGCAAAATGGATGACTTTAGTTACATTAAATTGAAAAGTTTTTGCACAAACAAAGCCAATCCAACCAAGATTAGAAGGGAAGCAGAAAGCTGGGAAACAATTTTTACAGCCAGTGTCTCTGATAAAGGCCTGATTTCTAAACTATATAGAGAACTGAATCAAATTTATAAGAATATAAGTCATTCCCCAGTTGACAAACGATCTAAGGATAAGAACAGGAAACTGTCAGATGAAGAAATTAAAGCTATTTATAGTCACATGAAAAAATGCTCTAAATCACTATTGATTAGAGAAATGCAAATCAAAATGACTCTGAGGTATCACATCACATCTATCAGATTGGCTAATATGACAAAACAGAAGAATGATAAACATTGGAGAAGATGTGGGAAAATTGGAACACTAATGCATTGTTGGTGGAATTGTGAACTGATCCAACCAGAGAACAATTTGTAACTATGCCCAAAGGGCTATAAAATTGTGCACACCCTTTGACCCAGCAATACCACTTGTAGGGCTATATCCCAAAGAGATCATAAAAATGGGAGAAGGATATATATGTACAAAAATATTTATAGCAGCTCTTCTTGTGGTGGGAAAGAATTGGAAACTGAGGGGATGCCCATCAATTGGGGAATGGCTAAACAAGTTGTGGTATATGGAATACTATTGTGCTATAAGAAATGATGAGCAGGCAGACTTCAGAAAAACCTGGAAAGACTTATATGAACTGATGCTGAGTGAAGTGAGCAGAACCAGGAGAACATTGTACACAGTAACATCCACACTGTTCGATGACTGACTTTGATAGACTTAGCTCTTCTCAGCAATGCAAGGATCTAAGACAATTCCAAAAGTCCCACGATAGAAAATGCTATCCACATCCAGAGAAAGAACTATGGAATCTGAATGCAGATCGAAGCATACTATTCGCTCTTCTTTTCTTTTGTTGTTTTGTTTTTTTCTTTCTCATGGTTCCTCCCATTAGTTCTAATTCTTCTTTAGAACATGACTAATGTGAAAATATGCTTAATATGAATGTATAAGTAGAGCCTACATCAGATTGCATTCTGTCTTGAGGAGGAAGGAGGAGAGGGAGGGGGAGAAAATATAAAACTGGAAGTGAATGTTGAAAAACAAAAATAAAAATAAATTATTTTAAAAAAAACTACTCCAATGACCCTCTCTACTTTCTTTTCTTAATGACAACTTGATCCCCCTCTTCTTACCACTTCCGCCTCCCGTATAAAATAAAAGAAAATGAGAAGTTTGGATTCAGTGACCTCTAAGGGTCCCTCTCATTCTAAATCTATGACTATGATCCCAATTCAGTGTCCCTTTCTAATTCACCAAATTCCTTCTTTTTACACTCAAGGATCCTGAGTTCCCCTATCTTAAGGACAAGGACTGAGAGATTATAACTGTTCTGCATGGCCCTCTAAGTCACCAGCTAGGTGGCACAGTGCATGGACATACTGGATCTGGGCCTTAGTTTGAATCCTGCTTCAGATGCTTATCAGCTGTGCGACCCTGGGCAAGCCATGGAACCTCTGCCTGCCTCAGTTTCTTCATCTGTAAAATGGGGATAATAATAGCATCTACCTCCTTGGCTTGTGATGAGGATAAAACTAGATAAAGTGCTATACAAATACTGACTATTAATAGTCTAATCGGGAAGCTAGCCTTTTTTTAATAGTCTCACTGGTAGTAAATAGAAGAACCAGAATTCTAATTCAGGGCCTCACCGTGACTGACTCTGCTTCTGTCTGTGTTTTTGCTCCAAGCCAACCTTGCTACTATTACCACCACCGCCACCACCACCACAGACCATTACTCTCCTCCTTAAAAACTTGCTCTCAACGAAGTATACTGAAAATTGATTCCTACTGAGGAGAAAACTGCTACTAACAGTTTCATGCATGTCCTGTCCTCATGAAAATGGTATTCGAACAGGAGATAAAGTCTCATTTTGGGCATAGGGAGATGGGGAGTTGGGGACTTCTTCATGCCCCTGAAGTCATGCCAGCCTGGAAAGTGGTCTGTGTCAGAAAAGGAGTCCATGCTGAGGGAGGCTGATGCTGGCTGGTCCTAGGCTGTCAGTAACTTTCGTAACTGCCACATCCACCCCACCTCAGGCACCAAATCTACCCAGGAGGAGCGAGGAAATAATTCAGAGCACAGGGAGGGGAAATGACGTGCGAAGAATCAGTTTACTGGCTTAGCCACCTGAGTCACGAGAAGTCCCCAGACACCATCCTGTTTGCGGAAACTTATCATACCATCGTCACAGGGCTTAAGGTACCTTAAGAGGAACACAGTGTATCCTGGACTGAACTTCCACATGCCCAGAGTCTCTGGATTTCTTTTAGCCCACTTCCCTCCCCAACCTATGGAGAAAGAGAAGCATTAAGGACAGAGCTCTAGTCATGGGATACCGGAGATAAGGGGGTTAGGACTGACTCTATGAATTCATGATAGGACCTTGAACATCTCACTCTGCCTGTTTGAGCCTCCAGCACAGTCCTCTGAAAAGCAGAGGGTTCACACTCGAGGATTTCTGAGGGCCCTTTCAATTACAAGGGTGAGATGAGAGAAGTTGCTAAGTCACCCAAAGAAAGTACTTTATTTCCTGAGAATGAGAGAAATCTCAAGGGAGGCTAGAAGCAGGTGGGCGATCGTGAGCTCCTCGAGGGAAGGGTCAAGTTGTTTTTATCTTATCCCCAGCACTTAGCACAGTGACGACAAATTCGTAATGACACAAAGGAAGCCCTCGATAAGCGTCTACTGTGGGGTGAGGAGGAGGTTTCCCCCAGCCCCAGCCTGTAGCCTAGGAAATTAACTCCTCTTTTAGGAAAACTGTGAATAGAACCCTAGCTGAGGCTAGGAGCCCAAGACAAAGTTTCACTGAATGTCTCTTTTTCTCATCTATAGTGTGAAGTGCCCATTCACCATCCTCCCCTCCATAAAGTCCACAAATCATAGACAGACCTGAAAGTCCCTGAGAATCCATCCCTTCTGCCTCCTTGTCTCCCCCGGACACTGAGGCTGGGTGGGGCCCTGTGTGGGCCAAGGTAGAAAGGGTTCCACCCTGAGTGGGAGGTTAAAATAGCGTGCTTAAAAACTTGTAGTATGATTTAGGATTCAAGAAACCTTAGAAATCATCTAACCCAAACTCCTCATTGAACAACCAAAAGAATATATTAAACCCATTCTATGTGGCAGATGTAGATGAGAAAGATACTTCTATTCCACCTCTGACATATACTTGTGTGACCTTGGGTGAGGTCATTAAATCTCTTCAGGCCTCTGTTTCCTAGTCGGTAAAATGAAGGGGTTAGACCAGAAGACCTCTAAGGTCACCTCTCACTTAGAATCTATGATCCAAGGAAGCCAAAGGTTTATTGACCTTGTTCAACATCCCTGGTTAATAAATTAGAGTCTGGATTCCACCCCGGTCAGACTAAATCCAATGCCCTTTCGGCAATTCATCAAAAACAGCCCAGATCCCAAGAGATGCTTGCCTCTTTAAATGATACACACTTTTCACTTCAACGACATAGACAAGTATCCAAACATATGAGCAAGAATGGGAGAGTACAAAATGTTTCTGTTTTTAAAGACCCCTCCTGCCCCACTCCCTACCCCAAGCTAAGGAGATTTCGCAGCCTTTTACAAGTAACCCAGTCTAGTATAAAACAACCCTTCCAAAGCAGGTATTCCACCTCCTATATAACTTAATTCTTTACTGCTGCTGTTGTTCACTTCTTTCAATCGTGACTTGATTTGGGGTTTTCTTAGCAAAGATACTGTAGTGGTTTGCCATTTCCTTCTCCAGCTCATTTTATAGATGAAGAAACTGAGGCAAACAGGGTTATGTGACTTGCCCAGGATCACACAATTAATAAGTATCTGAGAAAAGATTTGAACTCAGGAAGATGAGTCTTTTTGACTCCAGGCCCAGCGCTCTATCCACTGTTCACCTAGTTGCCCTGATTACAAACTGATACGCTTAATACTCTGCATAACCTCGTTTATATCTGCACTCCAAAACACCATGTAATAAATGGTAAATCCAGTAGGCAGAAAGGATTTTTCTTAGTTGGTTTTTGTTTTTTGGTTTTTTTTGAGGAGAAGGCATCTTCACCAGGTCTAAGATGGTTTTCTCTTATAAGGCTGTGATTAATTTCCCCAGCACCCTCAGACCTAATTCATTTCCTAGCATCCCTGGAGAGACAGCACAGAGAGGGGCACATTTACGGTACCTTCCTCACAGACAAGAGGAGCGGGATATTATATACCATCATTCCTTTTCCTTCTGATCAGCACCACAATTACAAAGCGCAGTCAGACCTAGTAACCAATTTTTCAGCACCTAGCACTAAGAAACATGCCTAGTAACTAATACCAGAAGACTATTACCCCATGACACATCTTTTTCGAGATTCTAGATTCTAAAAATCACCAGACCTATGATTTAACCAAGCAGGGAATGCCCAGAGGAGGAAATTCCCACTACCAATGGAGGTTTGTACCTTCCCTTCAACTTATAGTCTGTGAGAAATTAATGATAATGATATCAGCTAGTATTTATATAAAGGCTTGTAAAGCACTTAACCTGTAATCTCTCATTTGAACCTCACACCAGCCCTGTAAGGTAGATGCTATTATTGCTGTCCCCATTTTAGAGATGGGCAAATTGAGAAAAAGTTAAGTGACTTGTGCAAAAGTCACACAACTAGGTAGGAAGTGTCTAAGGTAAGCTTTGAACTCAGGTCTTCTTGAGTTCAGATCTAAATACTCTTTCCACTATGGCACAAAGGTGTCTAGGTAAAATGGTAAGACAGCAAGTATGGGCAGTGAGACTTGCACCTAGATTTTCCTGACTCTGGGTCAGCTCTCTAACATAGTTCTTTGCCTCCATGGCTACGTTCATTAGACAAGTTAATAAATCACAGAATGTTAGATGAGACACAAGAAACCATCTTGTCTAACTTCCTCATTTTATAAGAGCAAAAGCTAAGGATCTAGATCTCAACTAGCATTCTGAAGTTTTGTCTATTATACTGTGTTAGGTGAAACAAGCTAAAAATATAGCTCAAAAGCAAAAGGTAAAATAGTACTTAAACACGAAAAAAAGAGAGCTTATATAGGGCAGTGGCAAGTGATCTGAGTCACAAAGTCAGAGGACCTGAGTTCAAATCACAGCTCTGCTATGGACTACCTGTGTGACCTGAGGGAAAATTGTCTCCTCTCTTGGCCTCAGATTCCTCATTTTCCCCCTTTATGAAGGCTTCCATTTCCTTCTCTATAAAATGAAAGGGTCAGACTAGACCATCACTAAGATCTCTTTCAACTCTAAATCCTGTGCTCCCTGAGGGAGATAGGTCATGCGCTCTTGGATGAGTCCATCCCCTATAAGCCCACTGTGTCCTGTCAGCCCAGCCATTCCTAGGGCTCCCACCTTCCTAAGCCTCCAGTCTGCCCAGGGACCCCAGATCCCCTTGACACTGCTCTCACCAAATTGCATCCAGTCCCATTCATTCAGGCTGTCCATCTTGTAGCAGAAGTCCTCCAGCACCCAAGAAGGAAGCTGATAGATATACTGGGAAGTCCTGGGGCTCCGGAGAGCAAGTGGGGGTGGCAGCAGAGGTGGCTGCAAGGCCATTTTCCCTGCTTCCAGTAGTTTATAGACTGCTATAATCAAGGCTCTTTCGTCTCCCCAGCCATCAGCCTGCTGGGACCTCAGATCTGTTCTCTCCTCCCAGAAGAAACAACCGAGCAACTCCTGAGCTAATGCAACCCCTCCTAGCGGGGGAGGAACCCAAACAAGGTGTCCCCTTTGTTAACAGCAAGGCATTGGGCTTTCTGTGTTCTGGTTCAGGTTCCTGCTCGTCAACAGGATGTCTGCTAGGCTAATTTTCAGCCCAGTATGAGTCAGAAAGTGGCTGACATCAAGCTTCTTGACTCAGGGAAGGAGCCCCAAGGGGAACTAGCTGCAATTTTCCAGGAAGCTGGGCTGAGCTGAGCTAGGGTGGGTGAGCTGGACTGAGCAACACTGCCACCAAGCTGTACCTAAGAGCCATAACACAATACTCTAGCCAAGGGCTCACTGCCTTCCAAAAAACAAAAAATAATAATCAAAACTTGAGCATAAAAGATGAAAGGAATCAGAGATGAGGGCAGAGCCCTGGGATCTATTACTACTTACTAATTAGACTACTTACTAGCTGGGAAACTGCACAAGTCATATGACTTCTTGAGGCTTCAGTTTCCTTTGCTCTCAAGCCAGGTTATTAACCTACTATGGCCTCAGTTTTGAGGAAATGACTGGGATAATATAAGTAGAAGTACTCTGAAAAACACAAATTATTATACAGTCCACACCTCTCATTTATAGACAATAAAACTGAGGACAAAGAAATTGAGTGATTTTTCCCCAACGACAAAACTAATTAGTGGAATACCTGAGGCTCAGTCCAGTTGAACAGGGGCTCAGAATCTAGCAGTAATTCAGTTTACCCTAAAATTGGATTTATAGAGTTAAAAGAGACCTTATGTATCATTTAACTAGAGCCCTTCATTTTTAACAATGATGAACCTGAAGCCAAGGGAAGTGACTTACAAGTAAATAGGAGTCAGGAATCAAACAGAGGTCATCTGACTCCAAATCCAGTGCTTGTCTAAACCATGCAGGACAACCTCTGTGACTAAAAAGCCTTTGTCCTCAATTGGAAAGATATATGGGTCCACAGGTAAGCTCCTATGTAGTGGGAATGTAGCTATGACTTTACACTGGATGGGCAAGGAGGAAATAGAAAAACAGGGATTATAGTAGTTGGCTCCTATTAAGCTGAAAGCAAAGACTGGGAAAAGAACTAAGGATAAGAATGAAGGGAACCTTGGGGTTAATCAAGAGCAGGAGCTAGGGAAAGCAGCTAATCCTCGAACCCTCCGACTTGGACAAGGATAGTCTCATATAGCATTATATTCTGATTAGTCAATAAATGAATCATGAAGTGGTGGTATTATTGAAATTTGTACTGAAGATTCCCATTACTCTAGAACCAATGACCGTATTTTATATAATCAAATATTTAAATTCCAATACATGTGACTGCTTCATGGACTAATTATCTGGGACTTAACTGTATAACACAACATGTATTGTTGTACTGTGAGAGAGAAAAAAAAACACCTAAAAAGAAGCAGGTGCCTGTAATTGGAGAATGGCTAAATTATGGTTCATGAACATAATGGGATACTCTTGAACCCAAGAAACAAAGAATACGAGGCATTTAGTGAAACATATGTGTTGTATGTGTGAAATGATACACTCCATTCTGCATCTGTTGCTCTCCCTGGTTTCACCTCCACAGAACAAGATGCCCCTGGCCCCCTTTCCTTCCTCCTTTTGTGTTTTGTCTCCGTCCATTTGATTGTAAACTCCTTGAGGGCAGGGACTATCTTTTCTATTATTATCATTAATTACATCCGCAGCATTTAGCACAGCATCTGACACATGGTAGGTACTTAATAAATGTTTATCAGATTGGATTGGATGTCTAGGAAAGCAGATCCCAGAGGACAACTGGCGCAACTGCAATAATGTAAATAAGAGCCACTGAAAGGCAACTGAACACTGGTTAATTGCAATAAAAAAATCTTGGTTCCAGAATACAGATGAAGAAACACACTTTCTTCCTCATGGTAGAGAGATGGAAGACTATGGGTGCAGTGTTGCATACACCATCAGATGAGGTCATTTTGTTGGTCATTTCTGCCTTGATGTTTTTATTAGTTACAACAGAAGCTTCCATTGAAAGAGGGGGAGCATCTTGAGAAATAATTAATCCATAAAAAAAAGGCATCAATAAAAAATTTCAAAATAAAAATAACTCACTGCCTTCAGAATGAAACCAATTCAAGAAATTCTGGGGATTGCCAATCATGTAACATTTAAGCACCTACTACGTGTCAGGCACACAATGCAAAAGCAACTACCTAGAAAATTTATCGTTTCTTCTATGATAAAGGGATGGAGATAGTTTCCATGTCCTAGGGACAATGCAAGATGGCACCAAGAACAAAAGTCAGATGTAGGAATTAAACTGAACCAAGCTGGATTCTGCAAGTAAGCTATGTACCTGTGATTTGCTACGCAAAGTATCTGCATCCTGAGATTTCTCCTTAGTGTAGTAAAGATCTTGCACACTAGGTGGTGGGATGAGTATGACCGATTTGAGTAACATTTGCAAAGAGCAATGGGTGGGTGAACAGAACACAGTAAATAAACCTGGGTCATGGGAGTAGACAAAATCAGTCACCACGGAAGATCATTTTGAGGGGAGCACCCTTAGAATTTTGTCACTAAAACTGTTCAATTTAACTACTACATATCTTGGAGGGTGCTGCATAGTTTTTTCTAGAGAGAATACTCTGGGTCAATAAACATTTTTTAAGCACTTACGATGTCTCAGGTACCATGCTAAGCACTAGGTATACAAAGAAAAAGACGGTCCCTACCCTCAAGGAGATTACAATCTAACACGGGAAGACGAAACACAAAAGAAAGCTAGAAAATAGGGAGGGAAGAGAGGTCACCTGGCATGAGGTCATGATGGAGAAGTAAAAAAAAAAAAATTCCTAAATAAGTATAGCCAGAGAAGCCAAAATGAATGCAGGTGGATGGGAAATGAGACATCTGACCTGCACCACCTCCTTAAATGGAGAGTTCATGGCTCCACCAATGGAGTATGAGGAGGTCATGGCTCCACAGGCCAATAAGAGGAGCTGTAAGTACTGATGAGGCTTGAGTACCAAGGCTCATTGGATTTTGCAAGATAATGCAGAAATCATCCAAAAATAAGTGCAGTTGGGCAGGAAATGAGGCAATGTCTGAGGAGATGTCTGTTCTGACCCCCCTCCTTAAAGGGAGGTTGAGGAGTTTATAATGATCTGTGGTTTCTTTTGATTGGCAAAAAAAAAAAAAAAAAAAAAAAAAATTGGACATGGCCAATGTGGGAATTTGTTTTGCTTGACTGCATATTTGTTACAAAGGTTTTCTTTTTTTTTTTCAGTTGGGGACGAGGGGAGACTGAAGATATAGACAGAAATGCAAAAGAAAAGGTCGTTGAAGTATTTTTTTAAATGCACAGAAGAGAACACAAGGAATCATAGCTACGCATGGTTTGAAAGTTAAATGTCAAATTTTTTACATATATTAAGAGAAAAGGAAGCCGTACCTAATGGAGATTTGTAGGTGAGGGTACAACCTCTTTCTCTGCTCTACTATGTATATTGATATGCTCATTTTATTTGGTGTTTGTTAAGATGAGAACAAAAAAATATCTAAAACATTAACTTTTTATAATGGACTTCCCAGTGTGGGCAAGAACATTCTAAATTCAAGAGTGCCTGAATCAACTATTGGCTGGCCAGCAATAGGTTTAACAGTAGACTTCCCACTGCCAGGTCACTCTGTAGCTGAAGAACTAAAGGGGGTTATGTTCAGGCTGACCAGACCTTGTCTTGAGTTACTCAGAAACTGCAGATCTGAGGTCAGTGCAGAATATCTATTTCACAGAGCCACAAAGGCCCTTTGCATTCCAAGGAATATAGTGAGTGTAATGGACTATTTGAGATATTTTTATCGTCTCAGCATTTGTCAGTCCATGCCTATGAGTTTTTTGGGTGATGGAGGAAATAAAATAGTTGTCCTATTCCCAAGGCCTGTATTGTACAATGAGTACCTTTTCTAGAGTTACCTCTAGGTGGCACAGAAGAGAAAATGGCAAAACTTAAGGAGTCAGGAAGACCTAAATTTGAATCCTGCCTTAGGCACTTAGTAGCTGTATGACCCTGGGTAAATCACTTAACCTCTTCGTGCCTCAGTTTCCTCCTCTGTAAAATGAGGATAACAGTAACACCTACCTCCTAGGGTTGTTGTAAGGATCAAATGATATAATATGTAAAGCACTCTGCATACCATAAAGTACTATAAAAATATTAGCTATTATTTTGAGGAGATTCTAGATATGACCTGGGGGCAGAAGGCGGTAAAGTGGATAGAGTGCCAGGCCTGAAGTCAGGAAGATGAGTTCAAATCTGGCCTAAAACACTTACTAGCTGTGTGACCCTCAGCAAGTCACATAACCTCCATTTGTCTCAGTTTCCTCATCTGTAAAATGAATCGGAGAAAGAAATGGCAAACCACTCTATTATCCTTGCTAAGAAAACCCCAAATAGGATCAGGACGTGATTGAAATGACTGGACCAGATATGACCCAGAATTAAATTTTGTTTTTGGAGATTACCCTGAAGTTGTTCTGGGGTTGAGCCAAAAATATTGGCATTAAGATCCCAAAACTGAACATATATGTAAGTCCAGACCTACTGGATGGAGCCTCTCTACATGATCTCTTCATATTAGGGTCATCAAGATGTTGTATTGTGCATTGGACTTGAAGTCAAAAATGCCTGAGTCTTAATCCTGCCGCAGATATTTACTAAATGTGCAACACTGGGCAAGTGCCTCAATTTCCTCATCTGTAAAATGGGGATAATAGTGTAAGAAAGGATTATAAGTTAGGCTTTCACAACAGAGCAAGGGGATTCTGAGGACTTCCAAGATCTTGTGGATAGTCCCTCAACCAATCAGAAAGTGCTCCAAACTTTCTGTAAACCACTAGTTCCTTAAGAAAGAGCCCTGTAGGCTAAACCAGTTGCAAGCTTTCCGGGTCGAGGACAGGGCCTCGACAGGGCAAAGGCTTTTCTTCACTGCACTTGCTTAATAAGCTTATTAAATATTAACTGACATACCCGAGGGCAGAGATAGCCGCCATTTTTGATCATAGGACGCATGACCTAACATGACAAGAAAAAACATAGACAAACATGTGATGGGCTATCCAGGAAGAGTGTAACTCAGATGAACTAGACCAATTGCAGCCCTGATGGGTGCAGTATGGATCTAACTGTTTAAAAAAGTTGACTGTACCAGTGAACCAGCGCCCACATGCTCCTAGAGCGCATTGTGCCTGCTTCTCTCTTGAGAAGTGTAAAAAGTGCAGTAAAGGCTTTCCTTCACTCACTCACTGTAGTAGATTTTTGTTTCAGATTTTTCTAACAATAGCACCTACTTTGCAGGGGTGTTGTGAGGTTCAAACACTATTTGGTGCAATTTCTACTTCCACAACATCTCTCACACCCAATCTTCACCAATCACACGCAATTAAGAAGCAGAAGATGACCCTTATAATAAATATGCATAGCCAAACAATGCAATGGATTGCCATTGCATTGATAAGAGTTGATATGAGAACTTTTTCCTCAAAAAAAGTACTGCAAAGATTCATTTTTCCCCAATTAACTGTTAACTGTTTCACTTCTAGTTGTTTTTTGTTGTTGTTGTTGTTGGGCAATGTTAAGTGACTTGCCCAAGATCTGAGGTCATATTTGAACTCAGGTCCCCTCCTGAATCCAGGGCCGGTGCTCTATCCACTGCGCCACCTAGCTGCCCCTTCACTTCTAGTTTTAACTGCATTGGTTTTGCTTATGAAAAAAATGTTTTTGTAATATATATATAAAATGCATGTTATAATATCTATAATGAATATAATTATATAAAGAAAATTGTCCAGTTAATCCTCGGTTATTGGGATCCTCCCAATCCCTTGTTTGATCGTGAGGTCTTCCCCTATTAGCTGTGAAAACTCATTTATTCTGTATTGAATTTCATGTTCATTCTCCCAGAGGCAGGTCAGGTGCATCTCACCCTTGGGGTTCTAGGGGATATCCTGAGGACTTTTAGGGATTTTTCTTCTCTAATGACATTTGGTCAAGCCCTCACTGGTTGTGTTCCCCTCCCCCCTTAGCCAACAAGAGCATACCAGTTCCCTTCAACCACTTAACATCAGTTTGTTTTAACAGAGGGATATTTACTTCAAAGACATAGCAAAAATAAAAGTATAAACATTTCCTACCACACCATGAGAACACAATCCCCCAGATCCCATCTCAGTCACTGAGGGCAGTGGGCAGCACAATTTTTTAATATACCATTGGTCCCACCAAGTTCACATTTAGAAGAGGCATGAGTTACATGAGTCCTCATCTTGGCCACCATGGGCTGGATCCTGAAGGTCACTCCCAAATTTCACTTATTGCTCCATGGGGCATCGATGCTGAACTGATTGAAAAACCCAGATGCTGTCCTGATCTTCTGAAACTCCCAAGGTTGGAGACTTCAATCCCTTCACCTAAAAAGGAAAAAAGACCAACCAGCGACAGACAAGGACAGGAGCCTGTTTTCGTGGGGTCATACGTTGGTCTAACCACATGGTGAGTGGACTGGCCAGTTACAGTCTACATATGCTTAGGGCTCTAAGCCACTCTCATCAGATACCATTATGACTCCCAGAAGGAGGCTCCCTGGCCTTATTTATCCACATGCAGAGAGGCCATCCCAGGCACTCTCGGCACATGCTGGTTCCTGTTTCATTTTACATTCCTCTAATTTATGACCTTTTATCTCTGAAGACACGTCCAGTGGGAGCTTATCGTGGTATGTGGTGGGAGATGTGGATCCTTATCCAATCTCTACCATCCTGCTTTCCAATTTTCCCAGGATTTTTGTGGGAATGGTGAGTCCTTACCGCAGTAGCTGGGGTCTCTGGATTTATCAAACACTATACTACGTTCATTTGCTTCTGTACAGTTGTGTACTTGATTCGTTCACATTGATCAACCTCTCTATTGTTTTAATCAGTACCAAAGTTTTGCTCTGTAGTACAGTTTGAGACTGGTATGGCCAGGCAGTCCTCCTTGTTAGTTTTTCCCTAACATGTATTCAAATAATCTTCCACCAGCCTTAATTGGTGGGGACACATGGCTCGAACCTCACTGATGGCACTTCCTAGGGACCTAAATACAAAAGCCCACATAGGAGTCAGAGGCCCCTCCTTCAGGCTTGAGAGCAGGGGCAGTGAAGCTGCTGTAGCCTTGTTAAGTAAACATACTTCTGTTGACTGTTAGGCAATCTACAAAGATCTCATTTTGATCCTGAATCACTACAGGGCCTGAATCAGTCCTGGCCTTCAACAGAGTGATCTCCTTGCTATTAGGAAAATACCCACAGAAAACCATCTAACCCTATCTTTTGTTCATTTCAGTTCTGCTTTTAAAAATGCAATCAGAGAAGTCCTTTCAGGGTCACAAAGAGTTGGGAAAGAGATTAAAACCTCAGTGGGACAGGCACTGCATCATGAGTGAGTTTCCTTTAGAGTTACATGAAGAGAAAGCCTCTGAAAATATCACCCGAGGGCCAGCAGCAGAGTAGTACAGTTAAACTCATCCAGGCATTTGATTTAATGGGGCAACTTAGCAGGCCAGGTTTCCTCTGCAAATGCCCATTAAGTGAGGCAGGAAGAGGAAAGTAAATGACCCAGTGGCTCACTCACACAGAGGACTGAACTGCCACCTTCACCTTCATCCTCCTACAGATGTTAATGAAATGCTGAGCAAGGGGTCTCATCCACTTGTCAGAAGTTCATGGTATTAGACAGTTTTAATTGGGTCTTATGCAGGGCATATCACATACGCAGCAAGGCAGCACCCTGAGCAGGTCATTGCCAACCTTCCTCAGCCTCAATAACAGAACCTCCATCCCAGCTTTCTGGTGAGGGTAAACTAAAATGAGGTATTTGTAGAGCCTTCATAAAACCTGCTATTATTACGTTACTGCTGCTCTGCTATGGATACAAGTGACTTCAGATTTTAAGACCTATAAATTAGACCCAAGGGACAGCCAACTTATTTAAACTTTTCATCTCCCCTAAAACACCAGCTTCATGTTCTATATAGTCAGTCATCTTTACTGATGTCCAGTGCCCTCAAAGAGCTGACGTTCTATTGGGGGGAGGAAGCATTAGAATGGCACAACAGAGTCTCAAAATAAATACCGATCAAAATTATTTCTGGGATGATGAGAACTAACAACTGGAAGGATTGGGTTGGGCTTCATGTGCAGGATAAGCTGAGCCTCAAAAGAAATTAGGGATTCTACAAGGCAAAGGTTGAGCAGGGTCTACACTGCAGGCATGGAAAATTAGAAGACTGAATGCCCTGTTTCAAATGGAAAATATATCACTTTGGCTGCTATGAATGAGGAAGAGTGATGTCACCTCTGATGTGACCTAAAAAGGCTAACAAAGTTTCACCTTCCCGATTACATGACGGGGATACCTATACCACCCACTTCACGCTAACATACTAAGAGCTAGCATTCATTAAAGCTCCTACTATGTGTCAGGCACTGCGCTAAGTGCTTTACAAATATGATCTCATTTGATCCTCACAACAAGCCTTCCCGAGGGCAGGTGCTATTGTTTTATCCCCATTTTTACAGTTGAGGAAATTTGAAGGAAACAGGTTAAGTGACCTGCCCTGTGTCACACAGCTAGGAAGTATCTGAAGCTCAGATCTTCCTGACTCCAGGTCCAGCATTCTATCCACTGTAAGCCACTAAAAGACTGTGTGAATATCAACTAGGCTCGGATCCTTTCTTTTGCAAAACTGTCACCCAAAGTTTTAGGTATTCAACCATAATCTTTGTATTTAGTATAACCAGTTATCTGTTCAATTAACTTCTTTAATTGATCTAAATGGTTAACTATCTGAACACTATTTTTTCCATCTGGCCCTGGACTACCTCTGCCATGCCAGCATTCCCCCAGCCACTCCTTCCTGGGCTTCCTTCAGGCACTTCTGCACTGGGAAGGGGGGGTCTTCTAGGTTCTTTGTCCCTTAGGCCACAAGGTACTGCTTTCCACACAAAGTACTGAGGAGCCAGAACCATCCGTTTGCACAGGGCACAAGAGCTGGGCCGGCTGGGTGTAAAGCAAATCTTCATTATTCTCTGACTATACCTACCAGTTCATCTCGCTTTCCCTTCATCTCCAAGTTCATATTTACACTATTATTTACCTTCTTCAGCACTTCCTAATCTTTCTCATTCTTAGACACTCTTAGGTTTCCTATGATAAGACATATTTATAGAAATTTGTGGGGAAAGGGCCAGGAATGGGTATGTTGAATAAGGTCCTAAGATGATGTGCTGAGGGTGACTGAGGAACCAAAGAAAATGTGACTTTTTTGTCATAGCAAAGGATAAAACAGTTGCTCATGAATGGATAAAGAATGAAGGATGTGAATAGTACTCCTTCAGATGGAATTATGAATATGAAGGATTTAAAAGCACAGGAAATAAATAGAAACAGGAAAACAACATGCATGAAAACAACAAAACAAGGGCCTGTCTATGGACCCACTTCTTTATTCTGCTCAGTATTGTTTAATGCCAAATTGTAGCTGAGACCAAAAATTGTACAATCTCATTAAAAATGATAATAAGAATCACAGAAATATAAACAGAAAATGCAACATGCCTAGCAGCCAGTGGTCCTCAGACAGCCTGTATCAGAAACAATACACAAACTGCATGATTCAACAAGAAAAAAATTCATCATGAAGGAAGGCCTAAGATCAGAGAGAGGCTTTAAGAAAATGAGGCTAAGTAAGGATCATTGCGGGGGGAGTCCGGGGACTTCAAGAATGAGAAAGTAAGCCGTGGCCTCCTCTACCACCGTCTTAGCTACCCAGGGCACTAAGTCTTCTAAGGGACTTGCCTAGAGCCTGTGTGTCCTGAATCCATGATGCCCTACTGTCTCTGAAGAAGAAACCAAGAATAAACCCAGTGACTCCCATTTTAACATGTATATCTCTGCCCTTTCCACCAGCACTGCAAACCTGCCTCCTCTGCAAAATGTATGGGATCATTACCTTTCCCACACAATAGCTTACACCAGGGGAACCTGGGACCTCTAGGCCACATGTGGCCCTTTAGGTCCTCAATTGCAACCCTCTGACTAAATTCAAACTTCACCCCCCACCCCCACTCCTGGCTTATACTATAATCCATAGGGGGAAAAAAAGACAATTAGACATGAAATGAAATGAGAAAGGTTAGGAAACATTGGAGAAAAAGTGCTCTAGGACTTAAAGATGAAAGGAAAGAAAGTGGGATTTTAACGTGAAGGTGTGGTGGAATAATTGCTCATTATTTCATTGGCTTCGGCCTCTGCCTCTGCCCCTCTGCCAAGTCAGAACACAAGAACTCTGCATCCAACAGTCAGTATTTGGTAACCCTTTACCACAGGAAAAGGAAAATAAAGGGGAAAAAAGGTGAACCTTTACGGATTGTCTCTTGGAGGGCTTGAAATTAATGAAATTAAATCCAGTCCATAACAAAGAAGTTAAGTTTATAAAGGATAAATTGAGGTGAATTCACCATATTCCATATATATACATAGTCCTTTAAAATACATAGTAGGATAAATATAGAAATATAAAAGCATTTCCTCAGGTAGAAAAATTATAGTGGATGATCAAAAAATTGTGCTTTGTGAAATATGATGGCATAGATGAATATATACATCATAGATATATAAAAAAGGAAACTATACAAACAACATTCATAGTACTATTAAGTTCTTGCCTTCACAGTTGGTGCTTAAGGCTAGAATGAAATACAAAGACTGATAATGTTCCCTTGTTCACTATGCAGAAACCAAGACATAGTTTAACACAGTCACAGCTTAGAAACACTTACATAGTAGTACTGCCCTGGTTTTTTGAAAAAATAAAACTTAGAAAATTATCAAAAGTGCCCTCTAAAAAGTGACTGCCTCACAAAATGAAAAATCACCTTAGTTTTTACACGTCCCACCCACGAAAAGCTTCCCAAACACTTTCAAATAAAAACTTGTTATTAAAATCTATGCTATTAGTTTCACAAGTATTACAATATACTTTTAGTGTTTAGTAATATGCTTTTCCCCATCAAAATACCTTGTACATAAGCAGTCCTGAATCACGAGGAGTCAGATTAATCGTCTCCCATAAACATTCCTCTTGATTTTTTCCTACAAGATAAATGTTTTTAAATTCTATATTTCAGATCAATTACAACCATCTAGATAAATCCTTATTATCCACAAAGGAAAACAAATGGATTATGTATATACAACACTGCCTGACAGAGTAAGAACTAGCCTAAACTGATCCAAAGCCTCCTGGCCATAGTCCTAACTTGGTAAACCACAGTAGATCATATATTGAGAGCCAGAAGCTACTCTGCAGGTCATCTGGTCCAGGGTTTTTGGGTATCCCTATTCAGGAGAAGTTTGCATCCTATCAGTCAGAGCACCCAGATTAGTGAACAACAGCCAAGCTATCAGAAGGTAAACAATATTCCTCAAGATGACACTCATTAAAATGCATTTTGTGTTCCTAACTCCTAAATATCACAAGGCCTAATGAATTCAATGACAGTTTACCATCTCAATTACAGAGTTTAAACGTTAATGTTCTAATTTTTGAAGCAACCATTATCACTGGAATAAATTTTAGTTCTTGAGGGAGAGATACCCTGAAATTGCCAGTTAAGTCACAGTACCATGGCTAGAGAAAATCACTCCATGCCTTCCACAGCAGACTCAGGAGTTCCTATCTTAATCTCCATCCACTTGCTGCTCAAGATATTCCAGGGAAAGTCTCCTAAGGTCCTTCTGGATATCTGGGTAGTCTTCCAGGTCATCATACAATGACCTCACGATGTCCAGTTTCCTGTAGTCCTCAGGCTTGACTAGGCAACGAACAACTTGAAGACATCTCTCTTTCAGTGTATAAACTGCAGAGGAACAAAACCTCAGTAATAACTCATCAAAGGCGATTTAGTTAATACAGCACTGGGCTATGCCAGGGGTGGGGAACCTGCAGCCTCGAGGCCACAAACGGCCCTCTAAGTCCCCAAGTGAACCCAAACTTCAAAAAATGAGGCTGCAGACAGGTTGCCCACCCTGAGCTATGCTATTGAAATCTAGCTTGCAAAAAGATAGGCTCCTCTAAAGCTGCCTGTAAATGGAATTTCTGCAGAGCAAATCAGTAATTCACAGATGTGGCATGGCCCCTTATCATACATTAATAGTTTGGCTGATAAACAGAACAGAAAAAAGAACGTGTGTGTGAAGAAACTTTGCAGATAAAATTTAGAGGCAGACTAGGAGGAGGGTGAGGTAAAACCACCCCTCATAAATTGAGAACCTGTTTAAAGGCAAAAGATAATTAAGGCTGGCATTGGGGTGTCTCAGTTCATTTGCATCTACTTTTAGAGTGTGAATGGATAAAACCCACAAAGTGGTAAATCAAATAATTAAACCCAAGAAGTTAATGAGATGACCAAGGGGGAATGTAGAAAGAAAAAAAAATAACAACCACTATTGGGCCTATACGAGCATATAAAAGAAAGAGGAAAGGACTCACACGCAGAAAATTATTTCTAGCTCTTTTTGCAATAGCAAAGATCTGGAAATAAGCAGACACCCATCTGTTGGGAAGGGAGGGAGCAAGCATTTCTAGGGCACCTACTATGTGCCAGGGCCCAGCACTCTATCCACCTAGCTGCCTACTGATATCTGCACTAAGAAAAGCCGGAACAGACTTCTATAAAGAGGTGGGATGCAGTTAGTGAAGTGGGCAGAACCAGAACAATTTATCCCAAAACAGTATAAAGTCATGAAAAGCCTTCATTCTAACACATCTACATCTTGACAGAGATGCAGAACATGGCCCATGTTTTCAGACAGCGTCAATGTGAGAGATTATGTCATGAAGCAGGGGCTACTCTCCTCATTTTACTGTTGAGGAAAATAAGGCTGAAATTAAGTGATTTGCCCAGCATCACACAGCCAGGAAGTATCTGAAGTCAGACTAAAATGCTCATCTTCCTCACTCCAAATCCAGAAATTCAACATGTAACTTCGAAATTTGTCCTACTTTTCCCCATATTCTTTGTGGCATTCCTTCTGTCCAATTTTCAAAAGATTTTCCTCCTCACTTCCACTTTTTTAGGGGGCAGTGGGAAACAAGGGGAGAATGGAAGGTCACTGAGGCATCTTTTAAAAAAAAAAAAAAATGCTGTCAACAGAAAGAAGCAAGCACAGACAGGCCAGACAGTTTGGAAAGTTACAGGATGAAATTATAAACTTAATAAGAAAAGCAAGCTGCAACGTAATAGAGACCTGCAATTTCAGGTACAATCCTTTTTCAGTTCTACTATGTTTATGGAAATGTCCATTTTATTTGGTGTTAAGGGTAAAACAAAATAGGAGGGAAGAAAAAGACCTGGGACAGAGTCTTGGGAAATGCCTCCCGTTCTCAGCCAGACCAAATTCAGGCCAGCACAGTGATTCAGGCAATAGACTGGGACATAATTAAACAGCTGCAGACTATAAGTGCAACAAAAAGAAATTTACTTAACAACCAGAGATTTAAAAGGATGAAAGTATTAAAATAGACACTGTTCCCTTCTGCCTCCACATTCACCATGGCAACCTCTCTGGGCCAGAAAGACCTTAACAGGAAGGGTCATAGGAATTCAGATAAACTTCAGGTGCCCTGGTCCTAATAGGATGGCTTCTAATGCCTCAGGCAACAAGGAAGCAATGTCAGGGGTTCAAGTGCAAGTCCTCCAGACCAGCAAAAGTCTGAAAGACCATGTCCTTGACCCCCTAAGAAGAAAGCATCCAAGTCTACCTAAAGCAGGGTGGGCTCCCACCACGCTAACTCAGTGGACCCTAATATGGTGTTCAAGCAGAGAAGAGCAAACCAAGAAGACAATGTCAACAACGTCAAAAAACAAAAACAAAAAAAGAACGTGAAGACAGAAAAGCTGCAGTGGGAGGTTGGGAAATGGGAAGCATTGAATGCAGACAATGCTGTCCAGGAGTCTGAGGAAGAAACAGAGAAAAGCCACAGGAAATTACTTCTAGGGATGGGGTTCTTTTGGTTTGGTTTTGCTTTTTTTTTTAAAGGCTAAGAGTTATGTGGAAGAGGTTATAGGTGGCAGGGAAGGAGCTTTAAATAAAGGAAAGTTGTATCTTACCTGGAAGTGTGATGTTGGCAAAAACAGGCTGTCCATTTTCATTGAGAGATGGCACAAATAATTCAGTCTGGTTAACAAGAAGTCCATCACCTGTATTTGCATCTCTGAATAACCAAAAATGACCTGTAATAAAATAGTCAATTGCTGGTTAAGTCTGATTATGCCTAATTATGAAGTCACCAATTATTTTCCCTCTCAACAATTTACTGGTGCATGTGACCCTGGGTAAGTCATGTAAACTCAGTGCCTTAGGGGATACTTTGAAAGGCTAATACTAAAGTAAGATGGTGGGCTCAGAAAAGCTAACTCCAAGGACCAAAATCACCAAGCCAGCCAATAGCAGAGGAAGGAGGACCAAAGCCCAGCTCTTCCTCTCACAAGGGGCTTCTTCTCCTATTCTTCCTATACTGACCCTGAAAACAATTCCTAGCAAATAAGCAATTCTAAGTGTCTCCTCACCAGGGCCACTCCAAATGAGAGTAGAGTGTGCACTTAACCTGGATTCCAGAGAGCCCAAGTTTCAATCTTCAACACTTCTGAAGTATTCTGAGAGAGTCCCTTAACTTCTGGGCCCATTTCTTCATCCGTAAGATGGGGGGAAGTCATATTTGCACTGCCCATCTCACTGGATTGGTGTGAATGGAAAGCACTTTGTAAACATTAAATATTCCATTTGTCCATGTTGCATAAATCTATCTGTGCCAGTAACATATAAATGGGAAGCTGCTAATATTATTCTAATAAAGAATATAAATATAGAATACTTAAGCATTAGGCCTACAGGAGAAAAGACAGTTGCCTATTCCTTTTATAGGTGAATCAATGGAGTTCTTTGAGGGATGTAGCAAAAGAATAAAAGGCAGAGGTAATCTAGAAAGATAAAAGTGAAAGAACCAAACCAAAGCCCATTAAAAAAGAAAAGCAGAAATTTAAATGTAAAAAGGTAGCACAGTGAGAGGAAAACAACCATGCTTAAGAAAAGAAGGTGGCATTCAAAGTAATTAATCAACAAAAAGTGGACTGTCTGGAGGGGAAAGGAGGGAGGAATCAGTGCTAAAAACAAAAAAATACTATCCTGCCCTTACATAAGTACATGGTATAGCCAGACCTAAAATGCTACATGTAGTTGTAGCCACTAGCCTTTGCAGCAGATAGGGGTGTGGAGTTGTCTCAATGCCCCCTTCCCAACCACTTACCCATGCCCAGATTCCTATCCTAAGAAACCTTCACTTGACCCTAGCACCCCCTAACCCTAACCCACCCCATCTCTCTTCCTTTCATATCAGACTCTCAGAAAAAAAGCTATCTACACTCCCTGCTTCCACTTTTCATTTCTCAACCTCTTACAATCTGGCTGCTGCCTGCTGTTCTCTCCAAGTTTACCAATAACATGATCGCCAAATGCAATGTCCTAAGAGTTCCCATCCTTCTTGACCTCTCTACAGCATCTGACATTGCCCACCACCTTCTCCTCTTAGATACTCTGCTCTCTGGGTTTTGTGACCCTGTTCTGCTTGGCTGCTTCTTCCTCTCTTTTGCTGGATCATCATCCACATCCCTCTCCTCAATGGGTTTATTCCTAGGCTCTGTCCTGGACTCTATGGGCTCAATTACTATCCTCTATGCAGGTCTACATGGATCAGTGGATAGAGCACCTGGCCTGGAGTCAGGAAAATCTGAGTTCAAATCCTGCCTCGGACACTTACTACCTATGTGACCCCTGGGCAACTCACTTCACCCTGCTGGCCTCAGTTTCCTCATCTGTAAAATGAGCTGGAAAAAAGAAATGGCAAACCAGTCCAGTCTCTTTGCCAAGAAAACCCCCAAATGGGGTCATGAAGAGTTACACACCACTGAAAATGATTGAACAACAACACGCAGGTCTATATATTCAATCTCATGAGCTCCAATCCCAGATTACCATTTCCCACTGGATGTCCAAAACCAAACTCTCCCTATAACTCCTCCTGCACCCCCTTGCTAATTTCCCTATTTCATTAAGGGTATTAACATTGAGTCACCCAAGTCCAAAGCCTAGCATAGGTCCGACTCACCCAATCCAAGAGATTCTATCTCCCCAATCTCTCCCTTTGTCCCACTTACAGCTACCAACCAAGTCATCCCTCACCTACACTACTGTAAAAGCTTCCTCCCGATTCTCCCTGCAGCCCTGCCCACCTTTCCCCCCTCCAACCCATCTTTCACAAACGGTTATCTATCAAAGGCGGCTCCGACCATGGGGCTCCCCAACGCCAAAAGCTCCCCCCGGCTCTAAGACCGACTCTTCCCATCCTGGCTCCTGCGGATGCCCACACCTGACAGTTTCCACGGCCTCTGCAGACCATCTGCCACACCTGGCAGGTATCCCCTCCTCACCTGGGCCTCCCGGGATTCCTGAAAAGCTCGGTGCCCATGCCACCTGTCACAAGAGACCCACCTTCCCTTGGGAAATTACTTTGAATCTATTCTATTTCATGTTTATAAAAAATAAGTGCACCGTAACATCCTTATTAAGGGAACAAATACGTTCACCTCGAGGCGTCGTGGCCCCCATTAATTTTAATTCTGATGATTAATTCTAATTCTAATTCCGAGGGCAGTGCGTGCTGGGTGAGGACTGGGGATGCCGGCGGGCCAGACTGAGTGCCTGGGGGTGGGAGGTGGGAGGTGGGGGATGGGGGATGGGCTCCCCGCCCCGCACCCAGGTAGCTGGTCATCCTGCGGCCGGTGCCGGGCAGCAGCATCTGGTAGGGCGTCGGCTGCCCCTCGAAGTTGACCCAGAAGGGGAGCACCTGGCGGCACGTGCGGTTACAGAAGATCACGGACGACGGCTGCCGGCTGTTCACTGAGCGCAGCCGGGGCGGCTCCCACGGCATCCTCGGGTCCCGCGCCTCGGAGCGACCGAGGGGGCGGCGCACGAGCCGCACGTCTCGGAGGCTCCCGAGTGCGCTTCCTCCTTAAGGGTGCGCGGCGGCAACGTGCCCCACGTGCCCGACGTGCCCGACGTACCGCGGCGTGGGGGCGGGGCCTGCGGCCGGAGGGCGCCTGCGTGCACGCGCGGGGGCGGAGCTAGCCTCTGGAGGGGGCGAGGTCAGAGAAGCTGCGGACTCTGAACCTGGGATGGCACGGCGGCACTCGAGGTCGCCCGGGGTCCTTGAGCCCTTCTGCCTCTTCCTGGGACCGGGTAATGACTCACGTTCTTGTACAATTCAGGGGTCAATTCAAGTCAAAAACCCTTCTTAATAAGTGACACAAATGACCATTCCCGCATGATTAGCATGCTTTAAAGTTGATCAGTAATAATGATAACTGATAAAACTAAGCACGTCCCTATTAGTACATTTCCTGTCTTGTTAGTTCAAACCATTCTGAGATGTGCCAGGTTGAAGTGTCATTTCTGGCACCTGTGCAGGTAGTCAGCTAGCATTTTTTAAGTGCCAATTTGTGCCAAGTGCTGGGGACACAATGAAAAGGGAGGAAATCCCTGCTCTGACCAACACATCAATCATTAAATATGTATTAAGTGCCTACTCCAGGCCGGGCAAGGTGCTAAGCTCAGGGGATACATATAAAACCCGATAATCCCTACCCTCAGGGAGTTTACAGTCTAATAGAGAAAGTGACACAAAAAGGATGCTGGAAGGCTAGGGTGGGGATTGGGTCCCTGTGAGGGTCTCAGTTTCCTCATCCTAAAATGAGGACTAGATGTTTTCTAAAGTCTGTTTCTGCCCTTTGATTAAGGGGCACTTGGTGAGGTGGCAAAAAACTCTGGATATGCAAAGAACTTGAGTTTGAACCCCAGCTTTTCCTATCTATGAGGCTTTGGACAAGTTGCTCCTTTTCACTGGACCTCAGTTTCTTCTGTAAAATGAGGAGATTGGGCTAGATGCTCTCTAAAGGACCTTTCCTGCTCTAAATTATTGAATGATGTCATGACATGCCCAAGGACACACAGCTAGAAAGCAGCAAATTCAAACCCAGGTCTTTTTGATTTGCATTCTTATGCTCACACCACGCTACCCTTACCTATTTCACTACCTAACTCTGGTCAAGAGGGATTACAGAGAAGGGGAGGAGAAAGAGCAGTCCACAAGCTAGCAATCATTCTTCTTTCCTTCCAGCACTCCATTTTTTCAAAAATCCCTAAATCACTTTTGGTGTTTGAATGGGGTTTGTTTGGTCCTGACTTGTGATTTCATCAGTGTAGATGTGGATACTCCTTCCACCAAAAGATATATGTGTGATGGGGCTTCCTTGGGAATACTTAGATTGCCTAACATGGAGGTTCTAGGTGTCCCCTACCAGATAGGGAGAGGGAGTCTCCTTTGATTGGCTTTGTAGCCAAAAGATTTAACCCCAGGTTGAACGAAACCCACTTACAGATAGATGATGGATAGGTAGATAAGATAGACAGATAGAGAGAGAGAGATAGAGGGGTGTATGCAGTAGATGACTCAACAAATAGAACACAATAAACAACCAAACAATACATATCTATACACACGTATGTGTGTGTATGCATGTATATATAATATCAATCAATAAAAAACATTTATTAAGCTCCTACTACTGTACTAAATGCTGGGGATACAAAAAGAGACAAAAGGAGCTTACAATCTAATGGGGGGATAACATGCAAACAAATACATACAAAGCAAGTTTTATATAGGATAAATTCCTATTTAATAATTAACAGAGGGAAGGCATTGGAATTAAGAAAGGTTAGGAAAGGCTTCCTGCAGAAGATGGGATTTTAGTTGGAATTTAAAGGAAGCCAGGGTGGGAAGAGCAGAGGAAAGAGAGCATTCCAGGCATGAGGGACAGTCAAAGAGAATGCCTGAAGCTGAAAGATGGAGCATCGTGTTTGTAGGATAGTCGGAAGGTCAGTGTCACTGGATCAAAAAAGTACATGTTAGAGAGTAAGGTACAAGAAGGCTGGAAAGGTAGAAGGGGTCTAGGTTATGAAGGGCTTTGAATGCCAAATAGAATATTTTGTGTTTGATCCTGGAAGCTATAAAGAGCTACTGGAGGTTACTGAGTTAGGGGAGTGACAGAACTGTGCTTTAGGAAAATCACTTTAGGGACTGAATGGAGGAGGATAGATTGGAGTAGGGAGAGACTTGAGGCAGGCAGACCCACCAGCAGCTATTGTAGCAGTCCAAGTGTGAGATGATGAGAGCCTGCACCAGGGTGGGAGCAGTGTCAGAAGAGGAATGAGAGGAGAGTCAGAGATGTTGCAAAGGTAAAAACAGGCATTGGTAACAGATTAGATATAGGGGTGCGAGGTGATAGTGAGGAGTTGAGGAAAACTTGGGGTCTGAGAGGGTGTTGTGGCTCTCTACTATAAGTGAGAAGGTAGGAGGTAAGAGGGTTTAAGAGGAAAGAGAATGAGTTCAATTCTGGACATGTTGAGTTTAAGATAGGTCTACTGAACATGCAGTTTGAGATGCTGAAAGGCAGCTGGAGATATGAGATGGGAGGTCAGTAGAGAGGTTGGGGCAGGATAGGTATATTGAGATTTGAGAATCAACTGCATAGAGTAAAATAGTTCAGGACTTCACCCTCGTGACATTATTAGTCCTCTTCCAGAATAAAGGATGAACAACAACCATGGTAACAATTTTGTAAGACATTTTAGGGTTTAGGGCCTAGAATTTTTTTTAATTTAATTTTTTTTAATTTCTATTTATTTTTTTTTCCCTTTTAAAAAAGCTGGGACAATTTACTTTTTGTCCTTCTTGGCTTTCACTTATGATTTCTTGGAAATATAGTTCTGAAAAAACAGACTTTTAGAAAGCCCATTGTGTTTCAAATGGAGCTACCTGACTATGCCTTTAAACCCAAATCACTCTGGCTATCATTGAATGGCCAATAATAACCCAAGCCTTTATGTTTCAATTTTGATGGCTTAGAATGAGTGTAAATAGCAATTGTCTTCTATTCTGGCCAAAAATTCTAAAGGTTTTGTCCTGCCAGACTGACAGTTTTGGGTTGGTAAATTGGGCCATCTTTTGTCTCAGTTCTTAGCTAGCCCTTAGTCACTGAATGGGTGTTGCCTCAGACAGACTGAAACCTGGGAAAGATCTAATTTAGAAAGGCCAGGGTCACCCATTGCATCCTGGGCTTTGCCATTTGTCTTGATTTTTGTCTTGCCACTGAACTTGTGCCTAAAAGATGGAGTACAGTATTTTTTTTTTTCTGGTAGAGAGAATAAGGCTAATGACTTTGTGTAGCTCTGCCTCACTTAAATCCAATTCACTGGCAAGTCACTGGCCCTCTTTGAGAAGGACAGAACCTCTTTTGCCTAGGACAGAACCCTGTGATTATAGGGTGTAATCTGAAGGAGGATCCAGCAAAGGAGACAGGTAGAAGGAAAACCAGAAGAGACATGTCCCAAGTTTGTCCCTAAATTAGTTCCATCTCTTTAACGTCAATATTCTTCTATGATACTGAAAATCTATGAGTCATGGAATACCATAATCTTGAGGAATTAAAGTTGTGCCTTCCCTAAAAGGCAATGGAGAGGTTCATGGTGGACATAAGTAGACATATTATCGACAAAGACTGTGCAGAAATTATATAAAATATATCATCGGAGAGCTGTATAATGGGAAAGCAGGTGGACTGGTGATATATCAAGGGTAAGGGTTGCATTTTGTATCAATGGACAGTCCATGAATTCCACTGGTACCCAATGTCAGGACATCTAAAGGAAAGCCCCAGTACATTGGGTGGACATCCCATGGAATGCTTATGGGAGAACACAGACCAGAGTGGCACAAAATAAGCAAGCATGGCTAGGCTTCCATCTTGTGCGATTGGAAGGAGCACCCACATCAACATAATCATAGGCCCATCTACGTTTTGAAGTAAATGCTAAAGTCTTACACTTAGTTCAAAAACTCAGTTTCACAAATCCAAAATGGAAGAGGCACAGCCAAGCAGCAGTTTTTCTGAGGAAGTCAGGTCCAGGGCTTTTTAGCGCCCTGTGAGCGCAATATGATTCAACAGCATGAGCTAACAATCAAAACTGCTAATGTGATCTTGGACTGCATTAAAAGAGGTTTAGTGTCCAGGACTAGAGGGGTGAGGAAGGATACCTACATACTGTCCTTGTCTAGGCTACACCAAGTTTTTGTGCACAATAAAAGCGTAATAAATACTATATACTTTGTCTAGACAGCTCTCTAAGCTAGAAATGGTTTGCATATTACATTAATGTTAAATTAACTTTTAAAAAATTTTCTGGCAAACTCGTGCCAAAAATATAGAGTACAGTATTAATTTTTTGTTTCATAAATTAAATAGCAAAGCTTTTAATTAGGACAGAATAGCAAAGTAAAACAAAAAGGAGAAATCCTATTTATACAATAGGGGTATTCCTTCCATAGGTTCCCATCCCACTGATAGTTGAAAGGACTCTCAGACAGTTTGCTTTCCTAGGATTGCAACCTGCTTAAAAAGCAGGTTATAGGGGCAGCTAGGTGGAGCAGTGGATAGAACACCGGCCCTGAAGTCAGGAGGACCTGAGTTCAAATCAGACCTCAGACCAAATACTTAAAACTTACTAGCTGTGTGACAGTGGGCAAGTCACTTAACCCCAATTGCCTTTAAGAAAAAAAAAAGTACCTTATAGCTCCCATCTCCCAGAAAGATAAGTAGGCCTCCCTCCTCTATCCTGCCTCTAAGCTGGTCCCCCCCACAGAGTGGCTCCTGCCACTATCTTCAACTGTTTTTCTCCATCTGTTGGAACTATCTTCAGCTAAGATTTCTTCTTCTCTGAAGGAAGTTATTGCCCCCACTTTTTTTTTTTCTGCTAGACATGCCCTTGGCTAATGAACACACTTCTACTCTTTTATTCCTCGCCATAGCTGCTTCCAGTCATTGAAC